CTCCTCTCGCCTCCTGCTCCGAGGTTTCCAGCCCGCACAAGGACCAAATCTTCAGCTTTCCTCTTGATTCCTTCTCCGCATCTATCAAAGCACAGCGTGCTGGCTCCTCTTAGCTAGCACTTACCACATTTCCAAAGTGCAAAGAGTTTTATTGTTTGTTCTGATTGAAAAACATATCCTCGTTATTTAAAAAAAAATTCAAACCACTACTTAAAAGTATGGAAAAGAAAGTAAAAGTCGCCCAAAATCCTACCTCCCAGATAGAACCACTCCTAGCATTTTGGTGAACAGCCTTCCAGACATATCTCCATGCATATATACACACAGGAATCTATGTATATAATTTTATAGGCGAGGGGTTGTATTATACATACTGTTCTCACTTGACACCTACTTTTCTCTCTCAACAATATGCCATAGACATCTTTCCGTGTCAATAAATAGAGCTCTACAAAATTATTTTAATCCCTTCATAGTATTTCATCGGATGCATGTGTCATACTTTGTGTCTCTATTGATCGTTTAGAATGTTGTCAAGATTTTACTCTCCTAAACAATGTTGTGATAAATAGCCATGCGCATCTCTCCTTGCTCATTTTTGTAATTATCTCCTTAGAATAAAATCCCGCAAATAGATTGCTGCAATAAGGGTGCGCTGCTTCTAAGCTTGTCGGCCTGCCCTTCAGAAAACTTACAATGGGCTTCCCATCAACAGAGCTCTAGCCCCTGCCTGCCCGCACCCTCGCCAACCCGGGGTTCTAACATTTGGCCAAATCGACAGAAGGCAATTGACACTCATTTTTATTGGCATTGCTTAGATTAGTGAGAGGAAATGAATATCTTTGCATGTGTTTTGGGCATTTATAATGATTTTCTTGGTGAATAGCCTCTGTTCATGTCCTTTACCCACTTTTTAATGAGATAATTATCTTTTTCTGAATGAGCTGTAAGAGGTCTTTGTACATTTGAGATCAGATTAAACATTTGTCTATCATATATGCTTTCTCTCTTTTCTTTTTTTACTTTTGTTTTCATGGTCTTTCAGGTATTAAATTTTTTATTTTTATGTATCCAAATGTATTATTCTTTTATGGTTTCTAGAATCATATTATGATTAAAAGGATCTTCCCCACCTTAAAAATGACCAAAAAACTCATTCCTATTTATATCTCTGGGGTCTTCCTGGTTTGAAAAACCAGCTTGTGTTGTAATGGCTGGCCCATTATCCCAACATCACTTATAAAACACCTCATATATTCCCAACTCAGAAGAAATAAAGAGACACCATTTTATCATATATAAAATCCCCTTAAATGTTTGGATCCGTTTCTGGGACTCCTTTCTGTCCCAAGGATCTGACATTCTTACAGACTTTTAATGATTGTCCCTTTGTAAACATTTTAATATCTGGTAGAGTAAACATTCTTTCTTTCTTTTTTCCAGAACTTTCCTGGTTTCTCTCATTTTTTTATTCTTCAGATTAGTTTTATAGTAATTTTGTCAAATTCAAAAAAAAAAGATCCTGTTGGTGTCTTGATTTCATTGCCTTCATTTTGTACATCCATTTAAGGAGAATTGACATCCTGATAGTATTACATCTTTCCACCCAGGAACGAGGTATGTGTCAGATTTATTCAAGTCTCTCATATCCCTCAGGAAAACTTTCTGGTTTTCTTCATGTAAACTCTAAATGTTTCTTACAAAGTTTATTTCCAGGTATTTTGTATTACTGTTCTATTCTTGCCACTGTGGATGGGGTCTTCTATTTTATCTTCTAGATAGTCATTTTATAAATTTTAAAAAGCTATTTGTTTTTGTTCATTGTTTTGTTACTAGTCATTTTACAAAACTTTTATTTTTTTAATTTGGGGGGGGGGGACCAGCTCTTTCAGATGAATAATCATCTTATCTGAAAACTATGATTATTTGCTCTCCTCCCCCAGTTTTTATTTCATCTTCTTGTCTAACTGCAACATCTATCATTTAGGGAAAGTCTTTTTTGAAATATTGATAACAACAGCTACTCCTGTCTAGTTTCTGACTCTAGTCTAATAAGAATACATCTAGGGTTTCACCAGCCTGTTGTCCATCCTTCCTTCTCCTGTGACCACTATTCTAGTCCGGCCCATATTAATTTGTCATCTGTTTTATCACAAACATGAGAAATTAGCGTGCAGAGCCTCAAGTCAGATGATCTGTGTTCAAGTCCTGACTGCCATTTACTAACTACATAATCTAGTCAAGTTATCAAGATCTTTGAAACACAGTTTTAAAAAATAAAAAGAGGGGTTGTTGTAAGAATTAAGTGAAAAAATGCAAACATTATGTATGGTATCAGGAAATAATACCTTTTTAGTTTCAGCCCCCAAATTCTCCTTCCAACCCAACCTATATCCCACTCATAGGTTGATCTTCCCAAAATACCACAGTTCACATCGCTCTATCAGTCCCCTGCTCACACTCT